ATTTTTACATTCAAATTCATCAATTGATTATATTCACTACATTATCTATTATCTTTTTTTGTGCACTATTTTTCTAATTAAATATCAAAGTTATAACATAAAATAATGTTATATATTTATTTACCAAGTACTTTATAAATATCATGAAAAAATTAAAAAAAATTATAATTAATAAAGCCAACCATATTAACTACTTGAGAGATTTTGTGACAAAGAGAGTATTCAAATCACACAACAAATTGAAGTGAGAACTACCTCGCAATGTCCTTGTTTGACAATCAACAGTTAGCGGTTAGCGTTAGCGGATTTGACCAGCGAATTTATTTAATTATTAACATTGGGTAGAAAAAATGACCGCCAAATTATTAAATCAAATGAATGGTTCATATTGTTCAGGTTTTAATTTTTTTCTTTTAAGATTTTCTAATTTATTCTTAATTATATGATTATCCATTTAACTTTTCCATTAATTCACCGTTAGTCTAATTCTAATATTAAAGTCTAATATAGAATTATAACTACACCATTAATCTAATTCTAATATTAAAGTCTTAATAGAACTTAACCACAAATCCTGTCGGAATCTCCTCAAACAATATTAGTATATATTTAATATTTTATGCCCTAATTTTTATTTGTTCTCCCTTATGTCCCGTATTTGGTTTCAACCATACCTATACAATTATTTTATTGACAATTATAATCAATATTGACTATATTATTTTGCATTTGTAAACTTAGAATTACCTATTTAACCCGCACGGGCTTAGCTCAATGGTTTAGTGGGTAGCATTTGGGAGAAGAGACCAAGGTTTGAACCTCGGCGGTCGCAATGCGGGAATTATGTCCAAAGTGGGCAGATTCCTTATGCGTATCAGCATTTGACCCTGTCTGCTGAACCATTGAGTCGCCGTGATTTACAACTTCCCACAATGCTCTGTCGGGTCGGAGTGTGGGGGGCCCTTGGGGTTGGGGACTCAACCTTTGGGAGAAGAATTACCTATTTAAATACGCAAATTCAACCTTCAATTATCTATGCATGAACAATTTCAATATAATCTTGCCTTAATATACTTTAAAGTACTTATTTAAAAAAAAAAATCATTGGGCATTATCTCAATCGCGCAATGCACGCAAAAAACTAGTTTCACAATAATATTCGACATGACACGAAATCTGTTTAAACCCGTTATTTCTATTAATATATTTAAAAAACTAAAATTTAAAGTTAAGTTCTATTTAAAAAAAAAATCTACAGTTCAATTCATCAAACAAACTAAAAAGTATTCAATTCATAACATTCATAACATGATAAAATAACATCCAAAAGTCATAATTAAAGTAGTCCATACAAGTTTTTAGAATAAAATTGAACACAATCAAAATTCAAAATTCAAATTGTTGAACATCAATAATTGGTGTAGGATGTTGGCCTAATGTAATAAATTCATCCTTAGTCATGTACATAATATCTTTTGTAATCTCAATTATGACAATGGTTCTTACATAAATGACAATGATTCTTAACGGGTTATAAACATGTTTGGTAAACGGGTTCGTGTTAACGGGTTAACACGATAATATTAACGGGTTAAACGGGTTCTTAATAGGTTTAACGGGTTGACCCGTTAAGACACGAAACATAACGGGTCCTTAACAGGTCAACCTGTTAACGACCCGGGACACGTTAAGGCTAAACACTAACCCGTTATTTTCGTGTCCGGTTTTGTGTCATGTACATAATTGCCAGGTCTAACTGCATGCATACATCTACACATTAACTATTAATTTGAGCAATTATTTGCTTAAATTCAAAAAATGATAATATAAAAACACATAAATGATCCAACCCGTATATTCAATTGCACTATATAATATTTGATGTTCTAATTTAAATAATTATATATCGATCCAAATATTCTTAATATATTACAACAAATCTATTCCGTGCATCGCACGGGCGCAAATACTAGTATATTAAAAAAAACTGAAATTTAAAGTTAAGTTATATATATATATATATATATATATATATATATATATATATATATAATTGCACTCAGGTGCGAATGCTTCGCCCAGGCGCGAAATAGGAGTGGATTCTGTCTGTCCACGTGTCCAAATCTAATGGATGAGAAAATCTAATGTATGAGAAACACTGATTTTTTAAAAAAAGCGCGGTGGCATTTTCGTAAATAATTGAACATCAAAGTGCAAGTAAAATGTATTACAACTACATGTAAACTGTATTATAGGTGCAAGTAAAAAATTTAAACTGAGCGTCAATACTGAACGCACCTATAGTTATAAGTAGTTGCACCTATAGTTCTAAGTAGTTGTACACATAGTTATAAGTAGTTGCACCTAGGTGCATGAATGTTTGCGAGTGATTTTTAGGGGTATTACTACCCGCTGAACTCAGATCAATGAATGTTAACAAGACAAAATTACATGCACTTATAGGTGAAAGTAGGTGCACCTATAGTTATAAATAGTTGAACCTATAGTTATAAGTACATCTAGGTGCATGAATGTTTGCGGGAAGTGAATGCTAACAAGGCAAAATTACATGCACTTATAGGTGAAAGTAGGTGCACTTGAAAGTGATTTTACTTGCACTTCGATGTTCAATTATTTACGAAAATGCCACAGCGTTTTTTTTAAGTTATTAGATCTGGATACGTGTCGCGCGCTGATTCGTTCGCATATTCCTTCCTGGGCACTTATTCGCACCAGAGTGCATCTATATATATATATATATATATATATATATATATATATATATATATATATATATATATATATATATATATATATATATATGTGTGTGTGTGTGTGTGTGTGTGTGTGTGTGTGTGTGTGTGTGTGTGTGTGTGTGTGTGTGTGTGTGTGTGTGTGTGTGTGTGTGTGTGTGTGTGTGTGTGTGTGTGTGTGTGTGTGTGTGTGTGTGTGTGTGTGTGTGTGTGTGTGTGTGTGTGAAGGAAATAAAACCTGCAATTTAATCCATTAAACAAACTAAAAAATATTCTATTTATAACATTCATAAAATGATAAAATAACATCCAAAAATTGATAATTAAAGAAGTCCATGCTAGTTTTTAGAATAAAATTGAATATAATAAAAATTCAAATTTCAGATTGTTGAACATCAATAATTGATGTAGGATCTTGTGCTAATGTTGTAAATTCATCATTAGTCATGTTCATGATATCTTTTGTAATCTCATTCATGACAATGGTTTTTAGCAGGTTATAAACAAGTTTGTGTAAACGGGTTAACACGATAATATTAACGGGTTGACCCGTTAAAGACACGAAACATAATGGGTCCTTAACAGGTCAACTCGTTAACGACCCAGGACACGTTAAGGCTAAACACTAACCTATTATTTTCATGTCGTGTTAACGGGTCGTGTCCATAATTGCCAAGTCTAAATAAAACCAAACATTTCAGCAGCCATTTGTCAATTAAACCAAAATATAACGCCCAAAAAAATTAACAATAAATCAAAATTTTTACTAACTCTTTCATTGGAGCAGACCAAATACCTATGCCCTGAATTTTGATTTATCCATGAAGTACAAAGCTTCATATTGTTTCCACTTCATATTGTTTCCACATATACATACACACTCACTAAACTCTCTAACATTGCGCCTCCTAATCGTGGAACTTGATCCATACGAAGCCTCCATTGGCAAATGGCAAACAACAACCTTTTGTATATTAGGGCTCTGATTCGGGCGAAATAGTGACCTAAGATCTAATTGACGAGCTTAAAGATGAAAAAAATGTGAAATGTCAACTTTGCCCCCACATTTAACGTCTGTTTGACCAAACCTCAGGGGACCACGGGTGGTTATTTTTAAAAACATGGAAGACGTCTCGTAGTCATTTAAAACTTGGATGACCATAGCTACTAAATGCTTAATACTCGGAGGACCATTGGAGATATTAATGTTAGAAATAATTATTTCCTACCAATGATTTATATAATAAAGGTTGTAATTCCATAAGGTATTCACGTTGATGATTAGTGATGTGTAAAGGCGAAATTACTGGGTGAAATTCCCTCCCTCTCATTCTGTTAAAATTTAAGTTTATAAGGGTTAAAAGATGTATAATGGATAAGGTTATGGGTTTCACATTCCTAAAGGGATTTTTATTCCTGAAAGGAGGTCACATTCCTAAAGGGATTTCTATTACTGAAAGGATGTCACATTCCTAAAGGGATTTCTATTCCTAAAGGAGTTTCCCCATTTCTCTTGAAAGATGGTTTCTCATCACATCTATAAATACCCGGGAAAACTCTAGGAATCTTAACGGTTTCAAATCTCTAAGTTTTCTAGTCTCCGTATACGGATCAGAGAGGTGAAGCATTATATTCTTGATTCATTTCATTCAATTTAGAGATTACATCTTCAATGGAGCTAAGTAAGTTCTATCTTTTCTATTTAATTAAAAAAATTCATGATCATGAACATTGTTTAGTTGATTGATTTGGCATTCAAGTTATAGCGCATAAAAGATTATTTAACAATTAACTCTTAAAATATTTAAAGATAATACAAAGTTTTAATTTATGAGAAAACAAATTATTTTAGTGAAGAAATAAAATTTGGTGTGATGGGTGGGAGATGAAAAAAATTTGATATAAGAATATGTTTAGACTATTTTTTTTAGGATAAAATTTGCTGCATAGGGTTGGAGATGGTCTAATATCCTCTTTATCGATTTAAGGAAAAGCCTACAGCACCCACCTGAAGGTGAGCTTTGGGTTAACAACTCATTATAACTCATCGATAAGGAACAAAATTTGATTTTTTTTTATAAATGTTTTCATTAGAATGCATAATTCATTTTGATTATATTATAATTTTTTAACGTAGACAAAGCACTATTGTATCTTGAAAACTTTAAGAAGGGATTGAACAGAAAATAGAAGTTGAGGAGACAAGTGTACAGACAAGCATAAATGGCGTTTTGTTTCAAACAAAAGGAGAGGTAGTGAAAAATGGACTTGAGTTTCTGTTTTCTCAAAAGCCAAATCTATAACGCACTCTTCTCTCTCTCCCATGTTTTTCCCAGGAAATGGCAAAACAGAATAAGGACACAACACAAATTTCAACGTGACTTGTCTTAATCTCACACCCCTTGCCTCCAAAACATCTCCATTTAGTTCTTCCTATCTCTCTCTCCCCCCTTCTTCAGATTATGATATCATGCTTTCTCTCTCTTATTCTTGATATATACTTCCAAATCCACCAGGCATTGGGATCTGCACTTTTTCAAGAATCCCAACGCACGACAACATTCGAATGAAAAGGTTGTTGCCCTTCTGTTCCTAATTGTCTGTTGTTCAGCTGCTGATTATGTTTTTCTGTTTTACAATGCTGATTGCCCAGAGTTTTGTTTTAGCTTTTGGTTAATGATCCCTCAATTGTGATGATGATAGAAAGGTACATTCTGACATTGCTTGATATGATATGATATCTCGGAATCCCTAATCCTTTTTCTTATCGTTATTGCGGTGAAAGAAGACAAAAACATCACTCGTTCACAAAGATTTGATGCCTTTTGAGTGAATCGTTTGCCAAAATATTATACCATAACGTGTTTTGATTGGCTGACTGTCCAATTAAAGGGCTCGTATATATGAATGACATAATACATACATGAGAAATCCTTTGATTGTATCGTTGTAGGTTGTTCGTTAATGCTTGTGAAGTTGTGTTTTCATGGGTACGGTTAACAAATAATGTAATGTGGTGGATGTTACTCAGTTTTGCAGGCTGGCATATGATTCAACGACAGCAACATCTAGATTGAGGAATCCTGTGACAAGTTTTTAATTTGCATGCATAGGAACACAGTTTTGTAGAATCATCTACAGATCAGAACAGAATGATATCTGTGTGTGAATAAATATAAATATAGATATAGATATATATATAGCACATGATAAGGTTATCCAATGGGGTCTATGAATGTACTGGAGAAGAAATGGGTGTATCCTCTTGCAATCAGCTCAGTTGTGTGCATTTTCCTTCTGGTAAACTTCTTCAACATAGGAATGGTTTCGTCGGGCAAAATCTTCTCGATATTCCCATCTCGCGTGGCAACCTCAAATGATGTTTCTGAGGCTAAAGATGATGAGCAGTCTCCACCCCCTCCGCCTGCCCCTTCCATCCCGCGCTTCGCCTATCTGATCTCTGCTTCCAAAGGTGATCTTGAGAAGCTATGGAGGGTACTGAGAACATTGTACCATCCTAGGAACTACTACCTTGTCCACCTCGACCTAGAGGCGACGGTGGATGAGAGACTGGAACTGGCATCCAGATTGGAAAGGGACCCTGTTTTTGTTGAGGTTGGGAATGTGAATATGATCACCAAAGCTAACATGGTTACTTACAGAGGCCCAACCATGGTCAGCAATACTCTTCATGCCAGTGCCATTCTTCTCAGAACATATAAGGATTGGGATTGGTATATCAATCTCAGTGCTTCAGACTATCCCTTAGTCACTCAAGATGGTTAGTGTTTTTTTGTTTTTTTTTCCTCCCATATGTACTCAAAACTTTCTTTGCTCTGTAATGACCTGTAGTTTTTGTTGCAGATCTTCTTTCCGTATTCGCAGATGTGAGAAGAGATTATAATTTCATCGAGCACACGAGTAACCTAGGGTGGAAGGAGTATGTTGTGTGTATTTGTAGTTACAACTGTGTTTGTGTTTGTGTTTTTTTAATGTTAATGTTTCATATGTTGCAGGCAAGGAAGGGGAATGCCATTGATGGTGGATCCAGGGCTGTATAAGAATACTAAGTCAGACTTGTTCTGGGTGAATCCTAACAGAGGTTTACCCACAGCATTTAGACTCTTTACAGGTGAGTTACACACGATTCTGAGTTTAAACTTACTTTTAGTTGAGACAGAACATAACAAACAAACAAACACATCCCCATCTGCAGGATCGGCTTGGATGGTGCAATCGCGTGAATTCGTGGAGTACTGCATATGGGGATGGGAAAATCTTCCAAGAACTCTACTCATGTACTACACCAATTTCGTGTCCTCCCCGGAAGGATACTTTCAGACAGTCATCTGCAATGCCCCACATTTCATACCAACAGCTATCAACCATGACATGCACTTCATATCCTGGGACAATCCTCCTCGCCAGCATCCTCGTACCCTAAACATAAACGACACAGCCAACATCATTGCTAGCGATGCTGCATTCGCCAGAAAGTTCAGGAGGGATGACCCTCTGTTGGACAGGATTGACAGGGAGTTACTAGGCAAGATAAACAGCAGCTACACACCTGGTGGTTGGTGTGAAGGTGATCCTCCTTGCTCCAAGGTTGGGGACCCCACAAAACTCGTCCCGGGGCCGGGCGCTGAGAGGCTTCGCCGCCTTGTAACTAAACTAATTTTGTTAACAAAGTTTGGGAACCAGCAGTGTAATTAGAAGTTGTCACATCACCCTTGCTTTACAGGTTGAAAACAAGAGAAGCAAGCAGGATTAGGAAGTAAAAGAAAAAACACAATAACCTTGTAGTATATATATAGTGTACAACATTTGCAGCATCATGAACCTTGGTGGTGCTGTTTTTTTTTTTATGATATAGTAACCCTGTTGTTTAAGAAACCACATTCATTCTTGTATTAAATTTCTTCTTGGCTTGTTTATCCTCAACTTCTCTCCCTGTACTATGATTTCATGGTGCAACTGAGAAACCCTACAGACAGCCACTAGTTTTAAAAAATTTCAGTTTTTTCTGCCAAGTTATCTCTTTCAGATTGTACTGTCTCTCTGTCTCTGTTCTAGTCTGCAATGTTTGATCACTTCACTTAAAGAAGTTCAGGTTCAATTATTTTTGAGTGACGAAGAAAACCCGCAACTACTACCTGAGGATAACTCTGCCTTGTGGTCCTAGCCGACAAAATCAACCAGCCTATGTATGTTACTCATAGCTGACCGGCTTAAACTGCTAAGAGTCAAACTTCCATTATATTCCTGCATACCATTTGAAGGAAAACAAGATCTATACATATTGGGCAATATATAACAATTGCAATGCTTGCAAGCTAAAAGCTCACATGGCAGAAAGAGAAGAGATTTCCTAATGAACTCTCTCTAGGTTTGTCCAACAAATTGCTTCCATGCATCATTTCGTGGAAGAGCCAAAGTGCCTATATATACCCATCCACCCTCTTCTTTCCTTGTTTATTTTCTTTTTCATATAGGAACAAGAAATTCAGCTACATATTCCTACGGTCACCTCTGCTAAGTCTTCTTAACATGAATTCAGCGTCCAGAAACAACTAATGAACCTGTTGATATTTGGTTTTTTTCAACCTGAGCATTTCTTGCTTTTGCCTTGTCCAACCGTGCCCGTCTTGCAGCTTCTTGGATATGGCGGTCATGGTCTTTGAGGATCTGATCTACTCGGGCTGATGGAACGAGCAGCGGTCCAGAGTAGTGAATCTTGTTGCCCTTTGATCCATAGCCCAGCTGGAAATGAAAAATACAAATGGCACCCCCAATTTATGAGTTAATAAAGGAAAAAAATGAATGAATGCATGATAATCAGGCTGGCTTCTTACAATCACAGGATCATTGCTGCTACTTCTTCCTTCATCATTTTGGTGCACTTGACTTTTTTGGTTTTGCTTCATAGTTGTATCCGAAGCCTCTTTGAAGGATCCAGGAAATCTTGATATAAGTTTTGGAGGTTCACGATTAGTAGGGCCAGACTGCTCCGCTAGATTTTCATATAACAAGCTCCTCCTAGCAGCAACCAGACCAGACAACGCTGACAAGTCTTCCCCGGTTGAAATCTTTGGGGCGTCTTCTGTGCACTTCCCGGATTTTGCCCAGGCAGCCCTGTGAGCCAGCGGTCCTGAATGCGAAGCTCTCTTATGCAGCTGTCCTTGGGGATCATTGCTCGCTTCTCCAAGGGCCTGAGATGGCCTAGGCGGGTCAATAGGAAAACCCGAAGCCACTTCTTCCTGTTGAGAGTTGAACATCTCACTTCTGCTTTTAGAATTCGACTGACTTTGTCTTTTCTGCATTTACAAAATTACACCAATATTATTTCAAGAAAACAAAAACCTATTGGTGACACAAATCACTCACCTGCATCGAAGAGATTAATTCAGCATTAGCATCAGGTGCAGGAAGCGCTCGCGATTCTCTTGTACCTCTCCTTTCAGCGTCTTGTCTGTGACCCTTGCTCCCGGCTGCAACATGCCTAAAATTTGCATTCATGCAAAGATTATCAGAAGCTTTCGTGGAAAAGAGGTCGATAATGCTACAGCAGAAGCATATCACGTGTTTCTATGCTAATACACATACCTTCTTGTTTCTTCATCACGCATTTTAGCATCAAACTCCTTGCTGGGAGGATATTTTGGAAGGCTTGAAGGATCACAAGGGAGCGGTTTCGTTGAAAAGAACTGAAAAGAAGGGAAGTACCATTATACAAGACGACATATTTAACATTTGATTAACCCGAATAAATTTCTACGAGGCAGCAGCAGCAATTGAACGTCACAATGACACAAGACGAATTGATTGGTTAGGATGTTCATACCTCACTCTTCAAAGCAGAGGCTGCAGATCCACGATCAGCAGGATCAATAGAAAGTAGGATCTCTATGAGTCCTAATGCTGGGGAAGGGAAATCTTTAAATGTTTCCCCAACACAACGTCTATAAGGTTGTTGGGGCTTGAAAATTGTAGAATGAGGTAACCTGGATTTCTTCCAGTACTCTTCAGAAGGTGAACCGCAAAGTTTGAAGATTTTATGCAATTGCTCCACCTATCATGACATAAAAGTATGTATTAACACGACACAAAAAAACTAGGAAGCTCCTAGAATCCTAGATTAGGCAACAAACCTACAATTACCATACCTCTGTTCTTCCAGGCATAATAGGCTTCCCGGCATAAAGTTCAGCAAGTATGCAACCAGTACTCCATAAATCCACAGCAGTACCATAGTAAGTACCACCAAGTAGAAGCTCAGGTGGCCGATACCAGAGGGTCACAACACGGCTAGTTCGAGGCTGACTGTGATTAGGATCGAAGAAACTTGCCAGACCAAAGTCTGCGATCTTTAATATGCCATTGTTGTCAATTAATAAGTTGGAGCCTTTTATATCACGATGCAAAACCCCACGACTGTGACAATGATCAAGTCCCTGTAAAAGTTGTTGCATGTAACATTTCACCTGGAAACAGTAAGTAAATCTCATTACAGTAGGGCCCACTTTTGAAAGTGCGAGAGAATTGCAGGAATAAAGATAACCTAATGAATATACCTGAGGTTCAGTAAACTTAAGACCAGGATGTGAGGAAAGCCCCGCCAGGTCATGCTCCATGTACTCGAAAACAAGATACAAACTGCACGACATCCGAGATGTGACTAGACCTTCCAGCTTTATAATGTTTGGATGATCGAGTCTTCTAAGGATGTGAATTTCCCTTGCCATAAACCGAACGCTCTCAGGCTCCAGGTTATCAAACCTAACTTTCTTCAGAGCAACAATCTTCCGTTGATCAAGATCACGAGCACGGTAAACATTACTGTAAGTACCTTGCCCAATCTGGAAAGCATAACACCAAGAACAAGTTTAGCCAAAACAATAGCATAGCATCAGCTAATAATATCTCAAATTACCAGACAACAGAACATACTGCTTTTTTTTGTTTTATAGCAGAACCTTACAACTATCAACTCTAATTTCAGTATCAAGAATTAATGCTAACAATGCCCCGAAGTTGAATACATGCTAAAAGCATTTGAAAATAATATTGAAAACTATACAGATATTTACAGGAAATCCATACTCAAAAACAGATGGAAAAGAAGCTCAAAGGAACAGAATTTCAGACTGCACACATAGTGGACTCCAAGTTATGAGCAAGATTCAAACAAAATGCTAAAATTACAAGCGAAAAAGAAAAGAATAGGAGCAACAGAACAGACCCTAAAATTAATAGTAAACTGGATGAGACCATACATAATTTTCATTTTTTTAGTACACGAAATGCTTAGTAAAAGCTACAAAAAGGGATAGCTCTAGGAAAAGCCATCTATCTATGTCCTAGATTCCAGATGTCTGAATAATCTGTGCAGCCAAAAAAATTTGACTTTTTGTCTATGTCAGATATATCATAATGGTCAGAAAATCATCTGCTTAGATATATCATACAGAATAAGTAGTTAATTCCAGAAGTTGAGCTAATGACTATAGCAAAGAACAAAGTGGTAGATCTTGGTTTTTAAGAAAGATTTTGAGTGATTTCCAATTAAAAATGGGAAAGAAACATACTTTATCCAGTTTCTCAAAAGAATCTGCTCTCCTAGGCACCCATCCTCTGATAGCTTCACCAGCCACTGCAGCCAACCAGGATGGCCAGCCAGCTGCAACCTGCTCTCCTTCAGTAGCTTTAGGAAGTGTGGCCATTCCAGGATGAGGATGGTATGTGGTGGTCACTATATACTCCCCCTTCTCACTTCTCCTGTCAGATTTCCCATTATTCTGCAACCTCACTGAACCATTTGCTTGCTTCTCAATCAACATTGTCTTCACGTCATTACATTCCAATGGATCCTTCGCCCTGTAAGCTTCCTCTCTCCTCCCTGTTGCCACCCGCAAATCCACTGAAGCCTTACATGACAGCCTCTCCCTTGGACTCTCCCTGCTATCTTCAATGGCAGAAGGTTTACAGCAAAGACAACCCATTCTATACCAAAATTAACTCAACCCCACCACCTCCCACCTCACAACCTCCACATATTTTCTCCAAAAAAAGCATCTTTCGCCATTATTGAAACAGTAAAAACAACCAAACTTTACCCCCCAAGATCTACCCAAACGCATACATCACTCAAACAACAAAAAATCAGCTCAGTTCAGAACCCAAGAAACCTGCCATTCATTCAGAACCATGCACATCCGTACCAAACAAATACCCACAACTGAATTCAAGAAATTTGCCAGCAAAAAAGGAATGGGTCACCTTGAATGAGAGGTGAAAGTGAGGGAGTAGTGGGCTGGTGAAACTAAAAAAGACACAGAAAAAATGGGGGGATCTAGGGCATAGATAGATTGAGTTTATGAGCAGTGCTAGTGTTCACAGAGATGCAAAATTGGGGAAAAATTGTTCATACAACTAGTTAGGTGTATTTATATATCACTGAACTGCTGGGCAGCTTTCTTTATTATCTGTCAACAGTGAAGAGTGAGAGAGGGAGCTGAAAAGTGAGAAGCCCGATGTGTTTCGTTGTGACATTCTTTCCTATTTAATACTCCACCACCACGCGCGCCACATTACTGTCTGACCACGCGGCTGAAAGAATCATTGTACAAGTAGCAAACCATTGTGTATCACCATCAATGACATCTCATCAAATCATGTTTGGAATAACTGAATAAGGGTCAAATAGGTTATCTGCACTCAATAATGCAATTAAGCCACTGAACTTCAAAAAGCTACAATTAAGTTTCTAAACTAACGAATTCTATTCAATTAGTCTAATTTGTAGGTTTCTAAGTTGTTAGCAGGTTACCCCTTTTCAAAAAAAAATTTAATTATTATTTAAAATAATTATTTAATATTAATAATTAAAAAAAAAAACAGATTGACACACCGGAGACGAAGAAGGTTTCTTCGTCTCCGGCCATGAAGACGGAGTTAACTTCTTCGTCTCTGGCCGGAGACGAAGGAACCTTCTTCGTCTCCGGCCAGAGACGAAGAAATTAACTCCGTCTCCATGGCCGGAGACGAAGAAGGTTTCTTCGTCTCCGGCAGAGACGGTATCTTTTTTTTTTATTATTAAATTTTAATTTTAAATAATAATTTTTTTAAAATATTATAAATTAGGGGTGACCTGCTAACAACCTCCAAAACCTACAAATTGGACTAATTGAATAAAATTAGTTAGTTCAGGGAGCTAATTGTTGCTTTTTAAAGTTCGATGGCCTAATTGCATTATTAGATGCAGTTCGATGGTCTATTTGACCCTTATTCCAATCATGTTTTATGGTGTTCACATCATTGTTGAGAAATTTTACTAACATTTAATATGTTTTTTTATAATCTAGGTTTCCTTTGACTATGTTGGATTTTATATTTTGAATCTCATTAATCTATCCTTATACTCATGAGAAGGTAAATTGAATTAATATAATTTTAAGACTTAATACTAAAATATATATTTTTACACCTAAAGAATCCAATCCAATATCGTATGTTTTGTAAATTGATATAGTATACTTAATCAGAAATATGGAGGGGAAAATATACAATCGTTATATCCTACACCACGGCGCACATAGCACTGTGCGTCGCGCGCTTCCCAAAACGACGTCGTGTTGGGAGGCGCGGTAGGAAGTTGCTGAGATTATGTGTATTTATTCACAACGTTATGTGTATTCGTTCACAACGTTATGTGTATTGGTTCATACAGTTATGTGTATTTTTTATACAATTATGTACATTATTTTTATACAATTATGTACATCCGAATCAGAAAATTTGTGTGTATTATGTTAAGAGTTGATGTGTATTATGTTAAAAGTTTATGTTTATTATGTATTATGTTAGATTATGTGTATTATCTTTTAAAAAGAGTATGTATATTTTGTTATAACATTATGTGTATTCATGTATAACATTATGTGTATTCAAGTATAACATTATGTACATTCTTGAACAGCGGGTTTTTTTTAAAGAAAAGCCTACTGCCATTCACTGGGGTGGGAAATTTCAAAAAAAAAATAATTAAAACGACGTCGTTTTGCATCTGGGCGCATAGTGCAATGTACGCCGTGGTGTAGGATATAAATTGCCTAAAATATATACTCCATAATATATAACTTTATAAAATGCACTACGTTGTTAATTTTTAAATATTTTAGGGAAAAGGGTTAAATAGGTCCTTGAACTTTAGCTTAAAAGTCAATTAGGCCATTAAATTTTTTAAAGGTGCAATTACACACATCAACAATTCATTTAAGTGCAATGAAGCCCAAAAACAAATTAATGACCTGCTATCACATGTCATCAAGGTTCAGGCCACCTTCTGGCGAATTTTCCAATAAAAAAAAGTGACCGGCTAAATTTTTTGACAAATCTGGGTCAGTTGCTGGTCACATTTTTTTGCCAAAAAATTCGCCGAAAGATGGCCTGAACCCTAATGACCTGTGGTAGCAGGTCATTAACTTGTTTTTGGGTTTCATTGCACCTAAATGAATTATTGATGGGTGTAATTGCACCTTTAAAAAAGTTTAGGGACCTAATTGACTTTTAAGCTAAAATTCGAGGGCCTATTTGACCATTTTCCCAATATTTTATGTTTGATAAAATTATATTGTGTTCTGTGAATAATGTTGAGAAACTAAAATTAAATTTTATCATGTATTAAACGGGTTTGTGACATTGTATGTTTTGAAAGTTTAAAATAAAAGGAATTTGTGTGTTTGTTTTTTAAGAAAAGTTTATGTATGGTAATGGGTTGAGTAATTTCAGACATCTGAAATTAGACAGTAACCATTTAACCACACGTTGCATTATGCATACTTTTCAGTAGGTTGTCCATTCTGTACATCTCTCCATGATTAGCCATTCTGGCAGTAGGTTACTCATCCTATACATCTCTCCATGATAAGCTACTCTAACAGCGTTGCATTATGTTTACATCTCTCCATAATAAGTGTTTAACCATAGAATTCTTTGATTATTTGATTGTCATATCATTCTTAAAACCAATTGGTGATAAGTAATTCTTAAAATAAATTGATAATAAGTAAGTGGACGTTAACCATTTAATTACATCTCTTCATAGTACGAAGTATGTCACAACGCCCCGTCTCAAATTGAGTAGGAGTTGAACTCGGCCGATGGCTAACAAATCTCTCAACCTTAATAATACAAGTTTAAATAGTTTATAAAGTTTGACAAATATTCGGTATGCAAATTCATACCAATGATGGGTTGAAGTTCATGTAATTGTGGAAACTTCCTATGCAATTATCTTTATATATTATATTTTATTTATTATTCCCTCCATCCCATTTTATGTATTTGTTCGGTTAACGAGGCTTGACTGGAGTTATTTTTAATTTAATTTTTCATAATATTAAGTTTAGTATTAATATACAAAATTTATATATTTAGAAACTATACTAAAAATACTATTAAACACAAAAAAAAAAAATCAAATTTAAAAATAAGTAAAAAGAGTGAATTCCATTTTTGGTCCTATTGTTATAGGGCTCATTCCAATTTTAGTCCACCTTAATAAATTTTGCCAGATTTAGTCCACTGTTATTGAATTCGTTCCACTTTTAGTCCACAGTAAGTTTTGCCGTCTAGTGACCGTTTAAGCTAGGGACATTTTGGTCATTTCATGGTATGTCCCCCCCCCCCCCCCTCCCCACCCCTTGATTTATCCATCAATCTTCATAATTTCCAATTAAGAAATTATTAAAAGAAATGTTGAATCTTGAGTTCTCAATTTCTCTGCTCATTTGTATTGTTCCTTTCGTCTTCTTCATCGTATTCAACTTCACCAAATCTATTAAAAACCCAAGAGTGTACCCTCTAATCGGTTCTTATTTCTCCCTGGAACAATGACCGCCGGCTTCAATGGATTACCGACGTGATTAAGAGCACTCCCAATCTGACGTTCATCATCCACAAGATGCGCTTTCCTATCTTTAACACTAACGGCGAAAGCTGGAAGTTTCAGAGACAAGTCGCCATCCACGAGTTTAACACTAGATCTCTCAGGAAGTTCGTGGAGACCGTGGTTGATACAGAGCTCTCCAGTCGGGACACGATGTCGGCGATGCTGACGTGGTTTTTCTGGTTGGTTTTCTAACATACACCCCGATGACTTTTAATTTTTATGATCTTTTCACCTTCTTGGTCATCGCCCTCAACAATTGAGCGATCGGACGCCTTTTGAGAACAATCGCGATCGAGATCTGGTCTCGTCAATGGAGGCCCCGCTGGTCGTCCAGTCGTCCGATCAAGCTTTGGATGGTGTTGGGGCTGATGTAGGAACGATGTTCGGTGGTCCAATTAGTGATAGGTCGGGGTCGGAGAACTCTCGCGATCGTCGATCGGCGTCCTCCTGTTTCTGAAATCTGTTGAGCCGATGGCGAGTTTCCGGCGTGTAGAGGAGACTGGCAATGGAGGCTTTGTAGAGAGATTTTGCGAATGGAGGAAATGGGTTAGGCGATGGAAAAGGTAAAGGAGAAGAGACATACCATGAAATGACCACAATGTCCCTGAATTTAACGGTCAATAGACGGAAAAACTAACGGTGGACTAAAAGTGGAACGAATTCAATAACAATGGACTATATTTGGCAAAATTGATTAAGATGGACTAAAATTGGAATGACCCCTATAACAGTAGGAGCAAAAATGGAATTCACTCTAAGTAAAAATAATAAAGAAAATAAACAAAGAATAAATAGTTGGTTTGACCAATGAATAATAAGTAAGACAGATAAAATGGGACAGATGGAGCATTTATATAAGACTTGTCTACTCACAAAATTTAAGTTGGAACACATAACAAAAAACACTTTTTAAAAGATGATGGTCATGTTCGGTAACATAGTTAGCTTATCAGTCAATTTTAGTTTGTTTGACCACTATTAGTTGTTTCACTTGGTTAACACAACCAATATGAGTGTTTGGTTAATCAGCGTTTTGTAACAACTTTTTATTTCAAAATGCTAAAATTCAAAAAACTACTCAAAGCAGCTTTTTCGATTAGCTTTCTTAGAAAATAATTATACTTTTAAAGGTCATTTTGCATATAATCAGCTATCAGATAACAACTAATTTACCAAACATCTTTCTACAACCAGCTAATGTTAAAAGCTAGTGAAACCAACTAAGTCAATCCGCTAACAGATATCAACTATTTGCTAAACACCCCCGATAAATTGAACACGGTTGTGGATATTTTGGCTAAGCAGGCAATGAACCGAGCTTGCACGTGGAGTGACATTGAGAATCAACTGAAAGAGATTTCCTGGGTGACGTTGGAGGACCGAATGTGTATCTGAAAGCAAATTAGTGTAGGGTTATGGTCTACACAATTGTGTGGACAATAATGATTGGTATCTGAAGTTCAAAGGCTTATTTTTTTAAAGAAAGAGCGCTAAGCTCTTGTTGGGCTAGCCCCTCCTTTAGATCCCCAAACAAAATAACAAAAAAATGAACATATAGACACTCTTTCAAAAAGTTCAAATAACATTTTTTTTGAAAATTTTCTGCGGTGCTTCATTAGAAAAATGCTGAAATAATGTCTGGTGGGTGAGTATCCCAGTACATAGTATCAGGTTGCTGATAAGCCGTAGTGGCTAAAGCATGAGCTAAATAATTGTCCGATCTAGAAATATAATTAAAAGAACATGAGTGAAAATAAACGGCAATTTGCCTGCAGCTATCAATGGCATAGCCAACGTAAGAGCGAAACGCAGTGGTTGATGATGTAAGGTAGCGTTGTAGTGTCAAACAATCCGTGTAGATCTCAATATTCTGTTCACCTCGATCCTTTAGCCATGATAAAACTTCCTTACACGCCAAAGCCTCAGCTATAAGTGGTGACGTACAGGCCGGTAGCGGCGCGGTTAGTGCCGAGATATAGGCTCCATCTCCATCTAATAAAACGGCCCCTACAGTTGCATTCCCTGTCTCGTGTAGATATCCCGCATCGACCCTGCATCTTCTCACTGGCGGCACAGAGGATCCGGCGGCGTCGGCAGCACCGCAGCCGGCGGTGGGACTCGCCTGGGCAGCGTGGCGGTTTTCTGTCGGCAGCGTAGCAGTGGCAGTGGCAGCCACGGCTGGGCGGGACTGAGTCCATGCGATCTTGGCTGCCGCTGCGGCTCTGAGTAGGGACCCCGGGCGTGGTAAAAACGCCTCCCAAACTGCACCATTTCGAGCTTTCCAAATATTGTATAGAATTGATGCTGCATATAACATTCCATCAGAATCTAAAATATTTAGAAGTTCCCCAAACCAAACATGAAAAATATCCGTGACAATATTGGGGATTGTAAGGTTGGATTGATCCCAAATGTTTCTTGCAAAATCACACAAGACTAATGCATGCATTGTATTCTCATGTGATATCCCACACATAGCACAATATGGGTTCACCTCCACCCTCTTTAAAAGCAAGTTCGTAGTTGTAGGCAAAATATCACAAATAGCTCTCCAGAGGAACATTTTCCACTTTGGTGGAATTTTTAGTCTCCATAAAGCTAACCAATTAGTAAAGGGGCCTTGATTATTCTCATAATCTCCCACCAATCGTCTGTACCCGCTTTTCACAGAATATAATCCTCTCGGGTCCCGTACCAATACCATGCATCATTATAATCCCGGGATACAGGTACTCTCATAATTCTCTCGACATCCGTAGGTTGAAATAAATCTGATAAAATTTCATTATCCCATGTACCAGTTTGTTGATCTATTAGCCCCACTACTCTGGCCTCTCGTAACTGTATAGGCATCTCTGTTTGTATCATAGGGTCCTGGTCATCCAGTAACCATGGATGGGTCCATATAGATGTAGTTTCCCCATTCCCAATTCTTCGTCTGACCCCACTACAAATTATGCTCTTTGATGCCATTATACTCCGCCAACAAAAACTGGGATTATTTCCTACCTGCGCATCAAAGAAAGTATCCCTGGGAAAATATCGGCTTTTGTAAACACGAGCTACTAAGGAATCAGGCTTAGTGAGCATTCGCCATGCCTGTTTCCCCAACATAGCTAGATTAAATGCACGTAGGTCCTTAAAACCCAATCCACCATACTTCTTAGGAACACATAGCTTGTCCCAAGCCTTCCAGTGAACTCGGTTGTCCGTCCCAGAACCCCACCAATATCTATTCATCGTTCTTTCTATAGCCGTGCATACTGATATAGGTAGCAAAAAAACACTCATTGAGAAGGTAGGCATAGATTGTGCCACACTTTTCAACAGTATTTCTTTCCCTGCCTGAGACAATAGCCTTTTATTCCACGACCCAATTCTTTGGCGTATTTTATCCTCAATATATGCAAAAGCTGCCTTTTTATTCCTACCCACAAACGAAGGTAGACCCAAATACTTGCCAAAGTTTGGTGCCTGCTCCACCCCCAAAACTTGGGCCACACTTTCCCTATCCACATTACTCGTATTCCTGCTATAACAAATACTCGACTTGTGGTAGTTAACCACCTGTCCCGATAGATCCTCATATACAGTCAGGCATTTCTTTATCTCATTAGCCTCTTCCACATTAGCCTTAAAGAATAAAAGGCTATCGTCCGCAAAAAACAAATGAGAAATCTGAGGGGCACCTCTTGCTACCCTACATCCATGAATTAATCCCGCTCTGTTAGCCTGTTGTAGTAACAACGAGAGTCCATCTGCACAGATAATAAACAAATATGGGGATAGCGGGTCTCCCTGTCTCAAACCACGCGTGGGTATTATTGGGTCACTCCTTGAGCCATTTATCAGAATACTATAGGAGACTGTGGTCACACATTTCATAATCAAATCAACCCATCTATCATGGAAACCCAATGCCATCATCATATTACGGAGAAAAGGCCACTCCATTCGATCATACGCCTTAGCCATATCCAACTTAAGTGCACCCCAGCCCCTCAATCCACACTGTTTTCGATTCAGAAAGTGCCCCACTTCTGCAGCTAATAGAATATTATCTGTTATCAATCTATCTGGGATAAAAGCACTCTGTGTCTCAGATATTATTCCTTCCATCAAAGGCTTCATTCTATTAGCCATCATTTTAGCTATTATTCTGTAAATGACATTGCTAAGTGCTATAGGGCGCAAATCAGTTACTAACTCTGGATTACTCTTTTTAGGGATCAACATAATATCTGTCTCATTCAAGCCAGACGGGAGGTCACCTGATTCAAGACAGTTTAGCACAAAACTCGCAACATCCCCTCCTACCACATCCCAGAAATGCTGATAAAAACCCGGATTCATTCCATCCGGTCCTGGTGCTTTATCCGGATACATTGCAAACAATGCATCCTTTACTTCCTCCAGATTAAATGGCCGTAATAGTGAGTCATTCTGCGCCTGTGATACCCTGGGTTCTATCCCCCCAAAAAAATCATCTCCAGTTCCCGGACCCCCAGAGCTGAAAATATTCTTAAAATAGTCCAGAATGATATCTCTCATGGGATCCCCCTCCAACCAATCCCCATTGTCATTCATTAATCTAAGTAAAGTATTCTTTTTCTTTCGGTGAGAGGCATACTTGTGAAAGAATTTGGTATTGGCGTCAGCTTCCTTGAGCCAGTGCTGCTTGGCTCTCTGCCTCCAGTATGCATCCTCCTGGGCCTCAGTGCGACTCAGAAGTTGCTCTATTCGCTGAAACTCGACAAGAGAGGCCGAGTCAGTGCATCCTCTCAGACGTTGTTGATCCCGTTTCAGCTGCACAATCTGTTTCCCATACTTATGGAACCGATCCCCACCCCATCGTGTTAACCGGTTTCCACAGTATTGAACACAACCCTGTAAACCCTGCCCTCTCCCTTCCTGCCACGCCTGCTCCACCACACCCCTACATCCCTCATCATATAACCATGCCATCTCAAACCTAAAACCCCTTCTTCTAACCCCATCCCTCCCTACCTCCTCCTGAACTGTGAAAAAAATGGCTGAATGATCTGACTTCCTGGTTCTCAAATTCATAACCTTTACATGGGGAATTATATTGCGCCACTCGTTCGTTACTAGGACCTTATCAAGTCTCTCCTCA